ACAATAAAATACGTAATTGGATTTCGATAAAACAGACACACCGCACGGTCTTTGTGGCTTTGGAACGACGACGGACAACGTGACCGCGAGCCGATACGGCGACAGCTCTGCATTTCGTGCGCCGTAATTAACAATTATCTAAAATGTCGATAAAAAAGGGAGAGACAAAGATAATTACTGAGACAGAGCGCTAAAGAAAAGGGGCGCTTGCCAGTTTCCACTCTAGTCATGCATAGAAGATACTCAGTGTGCCATGCAACAGAAATAAGTCACGGTCATCGGATAGAAATGTGAGGTGCACCTCAATTCCCCGACTATTTCGTAATTGCTTACCAAAATTTCACTGAAAACATTGATGACTGATGATCCTGCATACCTATCAAAAAATAACGTTTCACAATGAGAATTATCATGCCTTACCCTACAACATTTTTATAAAATATCTCTGATGATGAAACATAAAAAAGGATTGGAACTCATCACATTGATCACCGGTTTTGCCTTCTAACTTTGGAGCATTTTGGATATTGTAGCTGTAAAAAAATGTGTGATACCATGATACCTGATTAAAATAAGAAAGATATGATTTGAAGTAAAGATCAGTCGAAAAAAATTTTTAAACCAACTACATATATTTAAAAAAATAATAAATAGTTACAAATTAATAAATGCAGTAGGTACATAAAGTTTTCGTTTCATATCAGCTGTTTTCATTATGTCATTTACAGAAACCAATAGGTACTTAAAGCCAATAACCGCGATTGTAATTAGGGTTGAGCAAATTTACAGATTAATCGAAATAATCGGTTATATAAATTTATCGGAATAATCGATCAATCAAATCGTTTAGTCACTTAAAGATAATACATTTTCTAAATTCTGCAATAGATACGTGTTAAAAATAGTAACTGTAATAATATGATTACGCGTGTACATTTTCTTTCTGCAACAAAACTGACTCTAAAATCTCTAATTATGGCGTTCTATAGTCGACTCACGAAATTTAATCGTTAAAGCGTGGTCCCTTCGTCAATTCTTTTCCTCCTTCACTTCGATCCCCTGCCGTACCATGAACAATAACGCGAAACAAATAATAATCAAGCTTTGTCGAATTTTTTGATAGACCGTAACGTTTTTCAGCGGCTTACTATACCAAAATCAATCAAAGTCGATAAAATTGGCTTCGAAATTGAATGAACCCGTTACGAAGACACGCTTTAACGAGTTGAATAAATTGAGCTACACGGAGCGGGTGCGTAAACGTTACCGCGAAGCAAATCAATGTAAATTTGGAACCTTAATAATTCTTGCAGAACACAAATTTAAATTGATGCTTCTCCTTCGTTAAAACATAACAATAATAAATAGCGTCCAATTGGAATTCCGTAACTACAATAAATCAGCTAATAAAGCGGCGCTTCTTTAGACCATTAAGCTAATTTTTACCGTGTCAGACTTCGGAAACTTTAGGGAAATACTAAAAAAAAAAATTAGTTTCATTCACAAATAACGACGAGTTTGGTATATATTATTATATATTCTTCGGGTTAGGTAATGCATATAATATGATCGAACATGGATCGAACATTAAAAATTGTTTAACCTTTGCCACTTTTGTTCACGTTCAATACCAAGCCATTTTCTATTCTTTTCAAAAAACACTACTATAGGTATGTTAATTTGCTTCATAAATATAATCGATGAATCCTGAATTTGCATTTGAATGTATGTGGGTAACACTCTAAAAAATTGCTAATTGATTTATGTCCGCAGTCGATTTCGCCCACTTGGAATATAAATCAGTGGTTACGCCATTTGATGTCAATCCATTTGAAATTAAATTAATCTGCATTTAATGAACAGAGTTTAAAGGAACCTAATCCGTTTATGCCTCTACATTTTTCATTATTCAGATGTTTAATTTAGAATGTCTACCTACTCTTTCTTATTACTTTGTTGGGTTTTCGTATTTTTTATAATAAAAGTAATAGTTTACCTACCGTTTTCTGGTAATTTACGATAAGTGGTTGAAATGCGCGGTCGTCCAATGCAAAGGTTCATGATATTTTAAACTACCTCTACATGCTATTTCAATAGAAAACGCAACCGAAGACATTAAACAAACTGTAATATCTATTTGTTACTATAACAACAAATTTCACTAGTGAATCAAACAAGGGATGTCTAAGAGTCGATCTTCTAGCCCATCAGCCGCGCCTATAAAACACCTTATGATATTGGAGTCATTTAAGAAAGTGGGACTAAAATCCCGCTGCCACCTTTATTGTTGCTGTGCTCAGGCCATAAAGCACCCATTCCGAGCTTAAATTGTTCGGTAGTCGAAACAGGACGACGTGCCGGGGATGCTGGCGTCTCTCCGAAATAGCGAACACGCCTCCGTTATTGACGTAAAATCGCAGCCATAACTATTTCAATTTCGCCTGACCGTCCTACGGAATGGCCCCAGACTACGTTTCATAAAAACGACAAAGGACATTAGAGAAGCCGTACCTACATACACGAAATAGAAGTGACTGCATATGCGAGATACCGATGACCAGTGAAACGTTAATTCACACCGGGGCACGAGGACTAAATTGTTCAATGAAAAGGATCGAAGCAACGAACTAGGGTAAAGAGATTAAAGGTTTATCATTGACAAACAATACGCAGTTACACTACAAAATATACAATGCGTATGTGAGGGCAA